AAATCCAGAGGCTACCAAGCAGGATATACAGAAAAACACTTGTTCATAGAGGCATTTGTTTTTCATTTTGCAAAGGCTTCTCTTTAAGTAATTGTCCCTGTTAAAATGTATCCCTTTCACCAGTCTTCACTGCGCTGTAAATAATTTCGATGAAGATGCAAGGATATGACTTTCACAAGATTGGACAATTGATTAAATCTGTGACCTGCAATTGCGAATAATCTTGGAAGGCTATTTAAACAGATGAAGGCCTAAATTGTCTTGCTTGTATCTGAATTAATTTCTCATTCATCATCATTATGGAGTGATTGGTCTATTCAGGCTCTTCAGCCTGCTGGAACTAAGCGGGATTTAAATGAGATCGTAACACAATTTAAATGCTCTCCAACTTTACGAGGCCAGTCGAGCAGCTGCAATAAATACAAATATTTTTCTAAACAGCCTTGTTTTAAACAATTACTTAGTACTTTCATGTTATTTCTTTAAGGGGCAACCTCTCCAGTCACAAGCACTTTCTGACTCGAAGGGCAGATGAGGAGAACCGCTTAGTGTTTTTCCTGGGTTTGTAGGTAGGAATATACCCCTGGCGATTTCCACTGGGTTGTGTAAATGTTGGCGTTGTTCCTATACTGATGGCCACGTGTCGGTTAGTTGAGCTCTGGCATAGTAGATTTTTTTTTTCCCCCAAGGCTTTCAATAGACACAGCGACTGGAGGTGAAATTAGGGCTTTTCCAGAAAACAGAGGTGTTGAAATCAGATGGCAAGTGTTTCCATTTGAGATGCATTTTGTTATTAAAGGACCCAGAACTCACTGTCACTTATTAGTATCTGTCTACGTGTTAGCATCCTCTTTATAAAGCAGCCCTCATATGCAGCTAGGGTTTATTTTTTATTGAAGGTCTAGCTTATTAATTTATCTTCCTCGGGCACTTGCTCTGCTCCCTCGCACTGCCTGCTTCTGCTTTTTTTTTTTAAAACAGTATTCTGCAAAAAAGTGCTGAGTTATGGAGACAGCAAATGACTTAAGAGAGGAGGACGAAATTGGGTGGAAAAAATTGCTCCCTACACATAGTAATACCTAATAACTGAAACTGTAAGAGCAGATTAAGCCATTTTGGTTGCTGAGAACCCAACTCATCTTGACATAAATTTTACCCCAGGATGACACTGTTGTAGCTGGCAGGATATAGGACCTGGGTTGACATATGGTGGCGGGTGTTTCCAGGGGCTAAACTCAGTTGTAAAATAATGTAACCAGCCGAGCAGGAGAATAATTGAAAACAAAAGCATCCTTCAGATACCCAAACACGAGCAAAGAGCTAATGGACTCACGTGTCTTTCTGCAGGTGCTGGGGAGCGAGCTAACAATCTAACAGAAAGCATGAAATATGGAGAGAGACTTTCCTTAATGATCTGAACACTGGAGCAGGGAATAGTGCTGGGGAAAGCAGATCCGATCCAGTTTAATCATGCAACCTTAATAAAAACGGAGAGTCCTGCTGGGGAAAAGTGATATCTGGCTCCTGGCAAAGAGAGGCAGACGCACAGCACAACAAAGATGGCCAGAGGAGCGATGAAAAGGGCTGAGTGATTTGCTAGTAACCGAGCAATTTAATGCCCGAGTTACGGAACTGCTCACTGGGATCGTTTAGTCCTACCCCGTCCTCCAGAGCTCATCTCCTTTTATTCACTTGTTTAAAATGAGCATTATTCCAAACATATGCAATGCAATCAGTTTGGTCACACTTACAAGAACACGCTTTAATAAGGCAATCAATCAAATGCTAACAAGGCAGGGACAGCCTCTGGAGCTCGCCTGGGCTGCAGGGAGACTGGAACCTTCTGTGGCACATGAGATGCCCAAGACAAGCCCAGCTCGCTGCTGACAGCGCCGCAGCCAGCGGCTTCTCCCGGGCAGTGCCAGTGCCAGTGCCCCCAGCCCCTGCTCCGAGCCCGAGGGGAGCCTGCTCTAGCGCTAGGGCCCACCTTTTCCCATTGCACCTAGGGACCCGATGCAGAGCCCAGTGAGGCCAATGCAGAGGCTCGGATCACTTTTCCCCCTGGCTCGGAGCCGGGTAGACGTCGGCTCCCAGCAAAGTTTCAGCCCCAGATTTTGGAGCCCGTGCTGTAAGAAGTTCCCAAGCCCGCGGCCGGGATTGGCTGGGAACGTGTTAAAAGAAACCACCCAACAGAGCAAAAGGAAAATTTCATTAGGAAGTAATGAGTAATTCCTCCCAGCAAGATGTATTGTTATATCTTCAGCTTCAATTTACAGGCAGAGTGGCTCAATTACCTAGAAAATACAGTCAATTAAAGGCTGCTGATTGGACACGAGGACGGATCATCGATCTTGTACTTTCCAATATCGCTGCAGACACCTCATTTTGCCTCCCTATTAACTGAAAATACGCCTGGCATTACCGCGACCCGCAGCCTATTTACCTGTCGCAGGCAATCTCTGCCCTATGACCGAGCAACAGAGAAATTCGCAATCATCCTTGCGACAGGAGCCGCCGAGAAGCCCAGTGTGGATGACAAGAGCGCCCCGTGGGAGAGGTTCTGGAGCGGGCGGGGCTGGAGGGGGTGTGTGCGAGTGAGGGCCCGTGTAGTTTGGACAGCCCGGCTCCTTCCCCCACAAATGCCATCACCTCCCCGTTTCTCCCATACAGATGGGGTTGCCTAGACATGTACAGAGGTGTCGGCTGGAGGAGGAGGCAAATCGCTGCTCTCTGCTCCTGCCAGAGGAGCCCAGTGCCAGCCCGAGCGTGCCACTGCCGCCCTCCTGGTCCTGCAGTCCTCGCGCAGGCGGCACCCCCAGCAGAGTCACTGGGCGACCTGCCTGCTGGACCCGCTGGCGGCGGGCACCGCGCTCTGAGCACTTCGGACGGGCCAGTTCCCACCCTCCTGCGGCTGGGGGATGCCCTAAACCGGACCAGTCTCCCGGGCGCTGTCTACACTGGACACCATTAATGCATCGGGGCCTGTCTGACACGACATCCCCTCTCCTCCGTTCTTGTTCTGCCCACCTCTCATCCGGCCGCTGGTGTTTATTAGAGGGATCCTTTTAGAGGCTGTGTGGCAAGAGGCTCAGGGAAAGCTAGAGAAACACTTCGCACTCCTGAGCCCTAGATTTGGCTCTGGATTTTTAAGTCCCTCCATAATTATTCTGGTGGTTCGCACAGAGCTAAATAGTCTAAATAATCTTTGGTCTTCCAAAGGGGGCATCGGAGTTAGTGCCCAGCGAAGACCCCTGCCTCTAAGTGCTGGGACAGCCTGGAGTGAAACCTTTCCCGTCTTCCTTTAGCACGTCTGAAAAAATCAGACAACCCGTGTTGTATACAACACTTGGAGCTTTCCGTGTGCTCCCTCGCCCTCCGCTGAGCAGTCCCTGCACGGAGCGATCAGATTCACTCTAGCGTCCGAGAGAAATGTTGTGCATATAGATATCAGCGGTTCCTCAGCAATTGCACCCGAATGAGATAGCGGGGAGGTCTAAACGCCTTTTGTTTCGCTTCAACGTTTATTTTCCTGGCTGCCCAACTGCAGCTATTAGGAACTGCGAGAAGGTGAAATGGCCCTAAGCGATAGCCTCACTTTTTGTCTTAAACAGGCACGCTAAAAATATTTGTGATACAGTGTTAGAATGGGTCTATTTTTTTTTATTATTGCGACATGGTAACAAATCGGAACAGTGAAGTCTTTGGGCTATTGATAAAGAGACTCAAATAGACAATTTCATTTTGGAAGAAACTCTTAGCCCAGTCCAGAGAGGGGGTATTTCAATTTCGAGGTTGACAGCTCCACTCCACTCAGGCAAAAATCCAAACAGAACCACGGCCGCTACCTTCCACCGCAACATCCAAGGAGCGAACAGGAGAGAGGCAGAAAGGAAAGAAAACAGACTTTGCACACGAATGGCGTGTGTGAAACACACGAACACATGCAAAGATCGGGGTGGAGGGGAGGAAACGAAGCACAACCCCAAGGCTGGAATCTGAACCCCAAATGCAGCAAAGGAAAAGGAAAAAAAGAAGCCAAAGGGAGAAGAAAGTACAAAGGAAGGCAAATCGCCCGTGCTCTAATTTGCAGATTGTCTGAAGGAGTTCTTCTCCCTGTCACCTAATCTCTTCCCTTGGCGGCTTGTTAACGTTTGGCACAGGGTCTCTGTTCAGAGAATATTATACATTCGACATTCAAAAAGCCCCCTTCCATATACATCACTTGCTAATTTCCTCAGTGTGTGCACATTTCAGCAACTGATAATAGGACATGTCGAGCTAAAGGACAAATAGCTCTGACCCACCAACTGGCAGCTTATTTTTTTCCTTGCCAATTTTAGTCTGTCTCATAAACATAAAAGTTGGGAGAACAGGGAGACGAAATATTGGCTTTCTGCTTCCAAACCCAGGCTGAGACAGGGGCAGGAGAGGTAAAGAATGCAATTAAACCCGGAAAGTAATTTCTGTATGGGAAAGCATCTCCCACCCCTTCCAGAAAGAGCAGGCTAATACTGCTAGGCTGCAATCCAGAAACCCTGCTCGGTGGTTGGTGAACAATCTTTGCTCCCTCTGCCCACGGGAGACCTCTTGTTATCAAACAACATTTTTCGTTCAAGTATTTCAGATTCTGCTTCTCAGTCAGATAGGATTGTGCAGAAGGAGGTGGGCCGGTGGTGGTGGTTGTTTAGAGATAGTCCTGTCCCTTGGCAGGGATCTGTCCATGGAAAATGCAGTCCTAGCTCACGTCTATGGGGTATTGTAGAAAGTAGTGAATTTCAGGGTTTGTTTTTGGCTCCAGAACCTTTACACAGAAATCATTCGGGGTTTTTTTTCCTCTTCTGTGTTTTATCTTGAAATGTAAATCCTTCAAAGACTGAGCTATTTTTAGTCTTTTTTCCCCACAAAGATGTCCACTTATGGGAGACAACGCGATTAAATAAACCTTGGCTGTAAGCACGTTAACTCGCAGGGCATCGTATTTATAAACCTGAGATGACCCTCTATCTCGTTAAAGGTACTTCTTCCCGCTGGTCCATGGGTACGGAGGTGGCTTTGCTCAGCACGGAGGGCGTGAAAGTGAGGAAAGAGTCAGTCCTGGTTGTGGCTGAGCAGGTAAAGTCTGATCCGGAAGGTCTCTGGGCCAGTCCGTTGGACTGGCTGCTGTGACAAGCCAGGCATGAGCAGGGGCCGCCCCCCGCACTGCTGAGTCCATGGGTCGGGGCAGGGTACAGGGAGGGGTGTCTGAAGGCGCACAGCAGTTCTGGTCTGGGGTAGGGGTGGGAGAGGACCCGGAAGGTGTCCAGCGGTCTCAGCGGGGTGCTGAACGGGGCGGCTGCAGAGGCCGAGGTGGCTCCGATGCCCATGTGGGAGTAGTAGGGCAGGGGCAGGTGGGACGGGAAGGGGTAGGGGAGGTTGCCCGTGGCCGCCGCGTGACTCATCATGTAGGTATAAAACGCCGGGTCTGCGGGGTGAGGCCAGGTCATAGCCAAGCGCTGCCTCTTATCCTTCATCCGGCGGTTCTGGAACCACACCTGGGAGAGAGAGAGCAGACAGACAGGCTCTGAGCCCGGCCCGGCCCGTGCACGGGACCTGGCTGCTGCTTCGGCCAGGGAAGGTCCCGATCCGCATCCCCCTTCCCCGGCTTTGCCGGGCACCGGCCCGGGCCCAGCTGCCCCGCTCGCCTGGGGGCTGCCCGGGGCAGGGGCCCACGGCAAAGCCGCTCCAAACCTGCCGGGAGATGTGGCTTTAGGAGCCCCTTGTTTTTTTTCGCCTGGTGTGGGCCTTCAGTAGCCACTTGTTTCTTTCCGCATGATCACCCCTCTGGGGGCACTCAGTTACCCCCTCCCCCCGCTAGTGAACCTACTGCCCCCCAGCAGGAGCCTGCCCGGCGCCAGGGGAGAGGGGCTGCTTCGTGTACGGTGCGGGGGGTCAGTCATTGCACCCCCCGCCCGCAGGGGCAAGGAGGAGCCCGGGCTCTTCCCCGCTTCCAGCCGGGCGCTGCCTTTGTGCTTCGCGGCAGGGCCCGGGGGGGGAGAGGCGTCCCAGCGTTTTGCAGGGAAGTTTGGCCATTGAGATTTATATTGTGCTAATTGAAACCATGTCCGGGCTGCCTGTACCTTGATGGTGGTTTCTGGCAGATTTAAAGCAGCTGCCAGCTCGCAGCGCCGGGGCCGGGACACGTAGTTCTCGCGGTAAAACTCCTTCTCCAGCCGGGCGATCTGCTCGCGGGTGAAGGCCGTGCGGTAGCGGCGCATCTGGTCGCTGGCGCTGCAGGCCAGGGAGCCCTGCG